ACGTGAAGAGCAAAGGAGAAGCTCGAACCAGCCCTGTACCGGACCGGGCCGACCTGCTGAAATAGGCGGAGCCGCGGGAAACGTCCCGGGTTCGGACACCGAGCCAATAGCACTGGAAACCTAGGCTGGGCGCAACCTTGTGACCCCCAAGGGGTCACAAGGACTACTTTCCCTGGGAAGGTCTCCAACCAAAGCAACAGCTGGGCCGGGGGGGGGGGGGGAAGAGGTACAGGTAACCCCACCTCGACCAGTCCTGCTGAAAGGCATCCACTGCGAACGCCTCGCAGTCGGGGAAGGGTGTCACATAGATTGGGAGTTGCAGAGACCACACCGACGCGAAGAGGTCTACGTCTAGGAGACCGTACATCTGGCAGATCCAACAAAACGAGTCGTCGTCGACCGTCCATTCCTTGGACAGGGGAATGAAGCGAGACAGGCCGTCCGCCAGGACGTTGGACACTCCCCGGACATGAACCGCACGGAGAGCCAAACCCCGAGAATCCAGCAGATGAACCACTCAAAGGAACCAACCCCAAAGAGCCAAGGACTGAAGAGAACCCCCGCGGTTCAGACAATGAACCACCAGAGAACAGTCCAAATGGAGGCGAATGGTCGATCTCCGAGCGACCTGAACCCTCCGAAGCATGAACCAGGCTGTTGCAAACTCCCGAACCGTGTTGTGAGCCTGACGGAAGGACGGCCTACCGTCCCTGGCCGGCCTGGTTAGCACTGGTCACAAAGCACCAGCTGAGAGACGACGCGTCCATGAACACATCGAGTGAAGGCTCAGGAAGGCGCCAAGGCACTGAACCCTGAAAACCTCGAAGAGGAAACCGGTGACGCAGCGACCGACACAAGGCCCTCGGAGTACGAACCCAACAATTGCGAGAGAGACGGAAGGGACGTCCCCGAAGGAACCAAAACAGTCGCCGAAGCCAAACCCGACCAGGCAGGTAGACTAGCACGGCAAAGTTCAGACTCCCGCACAACCGCTCGAGCAACCGCCGAGTGACCTGGGACCCCCTCAGAAACAGCCGACGGCGGGCCCGCAGCCGCAGCAACGCCTCTGGAGGGAGAGACAAGGAAGCGGTCTGAGAATCCCAAACAAGATCCAGCCAGGTCCGAACCTGGGACAGAACCAGATGGGACTTCCTCCAGTTCACCAAGAACCCGAACCTGGCAAGTTGGGAAAGAACTATATCCCTGGCGAGCAGACAAGCTGACCAACTGGGAGCCCACACCAGCTAGTCGTCGAGATAGGCCAAAACCTGAATCCCTATTAGACGCAGACGGGTCTCCACAACCCGGGTCAGACACATGAAAATGCGAGGTGCCAGATTCAAGCCAAAAGTTAGGCAGCGAAAGCGGTAAACGTGACGCCCCACCACGAAACCTAACCAGTCCCTGAACCCCGGATGAATAGGAACATGCCAATAAGCGTCCTTGAGGTCCAGGGACACCATCCAGGCACTTGGCTCCAACAGAAGCTGGACCTGAGATAGAGTAGTCATCCAAAAGGAGGGGCAAGGAATCCAGGGGTTCAGATGGGTCAAGTCCAGAATGAACCTCAGATCCACACAGTCCTGTTTCGGCACTGGAAACAGACAGGAAACCAACCCGAGAAACGGAGTCGTTTCAACCACGCCCAAGCGCACCCACTCCAAGATGACTTGAAGCGCAGGAAAAGAAACCTGCCATGTTAGCACCCAAACCCCCCAAAAGAGGACGGGTCGCCCAACACCACCGCAGGCCGGATGACATGACCCAAAAGGCCCACAAATCGTGGGACCAAGCATGGGCAAACAGAGCGAGCCTCCCCACCATTGCCCCGTCAACAGGGCTAACCGCAAAAGGGCTGACGCCCCTTACGAGAACCCAAACGTCGAACAGGGCGATCACCACGCTGATCAGACGACGCTGGCCCCGAAGGGAACATCGGCTCAGAAACTGGGACCAATGGCCCACCTCGACCGCGCAACCCGGAACCCTGGCACGACCCCTCCGAGACTGCCGAGAACAACCGCCTAGGAGAATCGACAAGTCCACCATAGGACGACAACTAGACGAAGCCACTTGCAGAAACCAAGAGACCGCAGTCTCTGCAAACAGCAACGGACAACGGGGATGAAAACCTAAGAGCCAGGGCCCAAGCGGATTCCAAAGAGAGGGCGAGCATAGCCTGACAGCACGCGAGGCGAGAAGCAAAAAACAGAGACACCGCTTCCTTCAGGATGGGCGCGAAGAGCTTCAACAGTGCAGCCGATGCCCTAGCTGCCGAAGTCAGCGCCCCAGACGAAGGCCCTTCACTCAATGCTCCCACATCCTCCACAAGTCAAGCAGAAGACAGCTCGAGAAGGGAAAAGAAACGCAAGACCGAAGCCAAATGTCCACGAACGTGCAAATCTTCCGCAACCAACGAAGCCAAAAGAAGAGGAACCTGCACGTGAAGCTGGAAAAGGCCAACATCCCGAGAAAGCACGGGAGCGAACAGGCTCGCATTAAGGTGCTCAAACTCGCCCCCAAGGTAAACCTGCATAAAATTAAAAGTTTCACGCCAATCAAGCGTGCGGGGCCAACAGAACCCATACCATGCCCCCAACAAAAAGAAAGGGCAGCCTGCCAGCCAGGAAGACTTTGGAACCTCCAAATGCACCCAAAAGTGGGTAGAAGAACAGAACTCGGACGAGGACGGATCCATCGCAGAGCCATAACCCGGGTCTCGCAAGAGGTATGTAGCAAGAGCCTCCTGCGCCACCTTCACGGAGATACGGGAAGTAGAAAACCTCTGGAAAGACGGAGCCGACGTACCCAAAGGAGCCCGGAACCGAACCCAGGGAGGAGCAGAACTTAAATTATACTCATACAGGGAAGGGGGGGTAAGAAATCCCCTCCCCGGTCGCCGGTCGGCCGAGCGGACAGCACGCTGGACTTGTGATCCTGTGGTCTCGGGTTCGATCCCAGGCACCGGCGAAAAACAATGGGCAGAGTTTCTTTCACCCTATGCCCCTGTTACCTACCAGTAAAATAGGTACCTGGGTGTTAGTCAGCTGTCACAGGCTACTTCTGGGGGTGGAGGCCTGGTCGAGGACCGGGCCGCGGGGACACTAAAAAGCCCCGAAATCATCTCAAGATAACCTCAAGATAACCCCCCCTGCGACAGTAAGCCCCACGAGGAAGGCAAAAGCACCCAAGCAGGGTCAAAGGGGACCCCAAGGCCCCCAGGTTGACTTCTCCTCCTCAGCCCCAGGATTCCCCACGTCGGGACCCTGGGCAGAGCCGTCCTCCAAACCCTCTACCCCTGAAGAAAAGGCAAAGTCCAGGGAAAAGGCAGACAAGAAAGGGGTCTGCTGGTGGGACCCAGTAGCCTCGGCAGGAGGAACCGGCTCAAATGCCTCCGTCCCTGACCCGAATGGGGCAGCCCAAGCCTCATTACCAACTAAACCCTGTGCCGAAGCCGAAACCCTCAGACGTTTTGGAGCCGGACACGGGGGGTTGGGGGGTTGGTGCAGGATGAACCACAGAGGAAGGACCAGGGAGCGCAGAAGGAGTCAAAGCCGAAGAGACTAATGCCCCCAGGTCCGGGTCCCTAAAACCTAAACGGGGCAGCCTCGGGGCATCCGGGTGGGAAACCAACCTAGCGCGTTGCAGTAACCTAAACCTAACATGCAACGCTGATGCTGCCTGTACCCTAACAGGAATATCCTCAGAGTAAAACTGGAGCACAAGCAGAGAACACGACTCGCAAGACTCCGGGTCAAAGGTGTCGTTGACCCAACAGGCAGCCTGATGGAGGCAAAACAGGTGACTGTCACCCTGAGACAAGGGCACACAATAACCTTCAAACCCACACAAGGCAGGCTAGAACTCTGAAGACGCATCCATGGGTTCACCGAGCCCCGACAGGGGTTTTCAGGGCCCGTAGGGTAACAACTATGGGAAGCCAGGGCAAGGTGTTGTTAACCAGTTAAGAAACCCAAACAAACAAGGGGTAGATGATAACACTGAAACCCCTGGGATATATACAAGTGCGAGGGCCTAACAGAGGGCCACCAAAACAGTATCAGGGGAACTATAGTCCCACTAGGCAGAACCTCCATCAGGCAAACAAAAACAAAAGCAAAGAAAACACTGCAAAAGTACACTGTCCTCAAAGACAACAGGAACCGGTCGCCGCTTAGGTGGCAGATCGCACAACACCTTGATGCCCTAACCAGCACAGCACCACTCCCTACCCAAGGTCAAACAAGGGCCCCAATCCCCAGCTGGCCCCAAGGGCGAGGCAAATGCCGAGCAGCAAGAACCCCTACAGGAGCGGTTCCCGAACGCCCCAGGGAAGATAACCCTGACACGCAGGGGCAGTACTCACAGGGTGCCTAGGGAAGGAAGCCCCTAGAAGCATGCAGCCCCGGCACTGATGAGGTACTCCTGGCCACCGCACACCACACAAAGACAGCAGAGAACGCCATACAAGGCAAACACTGCCCAGGAATTTGAGGTCAGAGAAACGTCTATCCCGGTTGACACTAGCTTACGAACTGAAGGCAGCTGGCACGGTGAGGTCTGGGGGGGCCCCCCTCCCACTCTCGGGAAGGGGAGGGTTGCGCGGATGACTGGTGCGGCAGTAAATTGTGATAATTGCTTGTTTGCTTGTTTCCTTGGGATTGTAGGGAGTTTCTACCTCTCCGTTCATTTTTTTGTTTTAGTTTCTTACCATGTGGGGTTTGTTTTGTTATGCCTACCTTTCTCGGTGCCTAACCCCTGTTGATGGCAGATAAAGAAAAACCCCAACCACAATGGGGTTATCCAGGGCCATTGCTCCCTGAAACCTCTCTAAAGGGGCCAGGTTCTGGTGCTGGTCCCTGGTAGGTCTGAACTCTATAGCTAATGTCCCGGTCTAATATAACATACATTAGCCTGATAAGCTCCAAGGAGCCGTAGGGCTTCCCACAGAAAGGTAACACAACTAGCATCATCATTTTTGGTAGATAAGGAAAGTAACCTAAAAGTACAGTATGTATTCATGGAAGTCAATTAACTATATACAGTAAATACAGCTTATGGTTGTATGGCAAGGGAAGGATTTGGGTGTTGATGTTGGCCACTTCCAATCAATCACTGCAATAACATTTGATTGCCTCTCAGGATATTAATCATGAATTGTACAGTAATTTATAAATTGCATTATATATAACAAATATATGTATCACATTACCCCTCTATTGAACTAAAGCTTAGAGACATCTAATATATTATTTTTTTCACAAAATAATGTACATTCTAACAACCTTAGGCTCTGACAGGCACACTAATATAACTCGAAACATTAAACACACAATACATTTCCCAGGTTTAATTGGTAACACTTGGCTACATGAGTCATTTCCTATTTAATTTGCTAATACACTGCATTTCTTCACCCCAATAAACATCATTTTATAAACCCCCAAAACAGCTCCCCATTTGGGTTTTAGGATTACCAACCCCATTTTAATGTCAAGATGTTAAAAAATGTATAAACACATTGTACATTAATTTCTGCACAAGAGGTCAAACTTTCATGTACATGAACCAAGTAATTTACCTTACTGTAGTTGTGTGGATGAACCGTCACATAAATTGTCCATTTGATTATGCCATTCCATGCTTGTGCAAGAATCACACGCATTTGTATACTGGATTTATACTGTAGTCCTTAATTATTTGTCAGTCATAATCCATTAATGCTTGTCAAGAGATCAACATTTTTGTATTTTTATACTGTAGTTTCGATACAATAGTCTTCCATTAAAGACTTCACCCAATATCATACATCACTGTCCACATCAGTCTCACTTCTTGGCTGTCCAAAGTTTCTTGTGATACTTTCTGACATAGATCTAATATTTTGCAAATTAATACCATCAATACCATCCAAATCCACATCAGATAATGGTTCTGTATCGAAGCCATCCGAGGCTATTGCACTTGGGCGATAATTGTCATATTCAGATTCATAATATGCATTAATCTGATCAAATGAAATGATTGCATCTGAATCAAATATTCTGGAAGAAGCCCGAGATGACATACTTGTATCATCCATGTCACCATCATACTGATGAGGGTCATTATATATGGAATTTACATCACTCAAGGCACCTAAAAAAAAAAAATTGGTATCAGGCATTAAATATTACAAAAAACCAGCATTGAATGTAATGAAACTCCATTTTCTGGGAGAGACCCGGAAGCTCCCCGGAGCTATCCAGACTGATATGAATATCATTAGACTTTGGCATCAGTGTGGATGGAGTTCTAGGCCTACCGGGGGCCACGAGCCAAAACCTGTCCCCCTCAGTGAGGCATGAGGAGTAATGGTCTATAGAAATGCATGTGATTTGGAACATTGTGTCTGCTATTGACTGGGCCAGGCACCCAGAAAGGTAAGTGCCTCAAAACAAACCCCTATTCTGGTTAAAACGACAAAAAAAAATCATCGTCTTCCTCCCGGGAAAGGTCTCACCCAGATAATGGCCTTTCATTACATTCAACACTGGTTTTCTGGGGACAATTTGGCTCCCAGGAGCTACATCACCAAAGACAAAAACTAGAGAGACTTACCTGGGAGGTGGTCGCTGCTCACACCTCAATTCTGAGTCGAGACAACAGGCTGCAAACGAGTGGATAGAACTCCCCAAATGAAAACGAGCAAACGAGCAGGACGTCACACGAGTCGTGCCGCATGTCTGCGTAGCTCTCCCCTCCACGGAAAGGGGAAGAGGGAGCCCCAGAGCCCCAGACCCACTATGACAGCAATCCAACCAGGCCCCGGGGTGAGCCCTCCTCCAAAGCCTCCGCTTCCCAAGAAATAACTAGGACAGCCGGAAAAGTGGGAAGAGAAGAGACCCACTGGTCAGACCCCAACTCTACAACTGGAGGAAGGGGCTCAAATGCCTCTGTCGCCTCCCTGGAAGAGGCAACCCCTGAAACTGCCAGTCTCAAAAACCTCTAAACCCTGCCCTGACTCCGAAGCCCTCAAACACTTCAGAGCTGGAAGCAAGGGGAAAGGGGGAGGGGGGAACAGAATGAACCACAGAAGGGGAAGAACAAGGGGGGGTGCAGACTGAACCAAGGCCAAAGCGACCAACACCCCGAAGTCCAGTTCCCTATAAGCAAAGCGGGGAAGCCTCGGGGCATCCGGGGAAGCAACCAATCGAGAACGTTGCAGCAACCTATACCTGGCATGCAACGCCTGAGCTGTCTGCACCCGAATAATGTCATCAGTAAATTGAGTGAATTGAGTCACAAACAAGCAACAGTGCTTGCAGGACTCAGGATCGAAGGTGTCACCGACCCAACAGGCAGCATGACGAAGGCAAAAACAATGAGCGTCGCCCTGAAACAAGGGGACAGAGCAACCCTCAAACTCGCACAAGGCGAGAGGAGACCCAGGATCGCATCCATCTGACCCCGTGCGCCTCCGCGTGGATTCCCCAGGGTCCCTAGACTGGTATCACTAAGGGTAAGCCCAGGCGGGGTACTGCTAACCGGCACCCAAGTCTACCAAACAAACTGCTAAAGCTGAACTTCTGGGACGTATCCACTCACAGGGGCAAAGCAGAGGGTACCAGCGAACACAGGAGGTCAAAACCCTAACACAACAGTGGCAAGGGACACAAAGGCAGACCCCTCTACCAGGCCAAAACAAAAAGTAAAAGAAAACCCGGCAAGAGGATAACAGACCCAGGAGGAACAGAGCAGACCGCTGTAATAGGTGAAAACGAGCTGTGCAGTACCCCGCGCCCCACCAGTGCAAAACTACCACTTACCCCAAGGTAAACAAAGGAGGAAAAGCCCCCAACAATCGGGGCGGTCAACCACCAAGCAGCAAAAGACCACAGAGGTAGACCCCAGGGTGACTTGTGGAAGATAGTCCGAAGCCCAATGGGTGGTACTTACAGGGCACTCAGGGAAAGGAAACCCTAAGCATATGCAGCCCGAGTACCTGTGAATATTACTCCCAGCTCGCACGCCACTATAAGAGCAGTAATGAAAACAAGGCACAGCACAACAAGAGAGAGTCTGGAGCTGGAGCCACATGACCGAGCCACAATCACATCAGCCTAAGTACTGATGGTTGGATCGCCGGCGTGGTGGGTCTGGGGCTCCCCCTTACCCCACCCGGGAAGGGAGGGAGGGGATGTGGTGGGGCTCGTGTAACGTTGTGCTTGATTGCTTGTTTTCATTAGGGAAGTTCTGTCCACTCGTTTGTCTATTTTCGTCATTTTAACCAGAATAGGAGTGTGTTTTGAGGCGCTTACCTCTTTGAGTGCCTGGCCTGATCAATGGCACACACAGAATGCTCCAAATCACATGTGCATTTCTATAGGCCATTGTTCCTTGTACCTCTCTGAGGGGTGCCAGTTTCTGGCTCGTGGTCCCCGGTAGGCCTAGAACTCCATCCACACTGACTGATGCCAAAGTCTAATGATATACATATCAGCCTGGATAGCTCCGGAGAGCCAAAGGGGCTCCCCCCAGAAAAAAAAGGAAATCAATCTTACTTGCTCTTTTTCATATAATCATACTTTTCCCTCTTTCCTCAATATCTCAAGCAGCAAAATAATACTCATTGTCTGGTAATTATTAAACATGAGTAAACAGCAAGGCAGGCTTTGTAATCATGGAAATTTCTGAGAAAGTCAAAGAAAACATTAGATTTACTAATAAACATTATTATGTGATGGTTAAAAATAGATATTGCCTAACAAATTTGCTCACATTTTTGGAAACAGTCACCAGATACTCATACAAAGGCCTTCTGGTGGATGTAGTATAAATGGATTTTGCTAAAGCCTTTGATAAGGTACCACATAAAAGATTGGCAAGGAAATTACAGATTCATGGTAATATACGAAAATTTATAAAACAATAGTTGAAGGAAAGAAAACAATGGATTGTGCTAAATGGAAACAAATCTGAAGAAGAAATCTGAAGAAATGTGGTAGGTGGAGTACTTCATGGGGTTCATTTTGGGGCTAACCCTATTTGTCATGTACATTAATGACATAAAAAACTAGCGTTGAATATAATGAAATGCTGGTTTTTTGTTAACGCTGGTTAAACGTTCGGCTTAAGAGCCAAACGAATACTTGGCTCGTAAGCCGAATATTCGTAAACTGAAGCAAATATTCCCATAAGAAATAATGTAAATTTAATTAATCCGTTCCAGACTACCCAAAATAACTTCAAAGTAAATTTTATACCTAATTCACCCAAATCTTCAGTACTAAAGTATGTACAAGTTATTACTTACCTTTACTGATGACTTTTGTTGGTGTATGGAAGATGGTGAGGAGGGGGCAGAAGGAGAGGTATTAGTGTTTGGAAGGGAAGTCCCCTTCCATTATAACATCATTCAGTGATAACTTCTCTGGGGTACACACACTGGCACGCTTAGCCTGCATTCCACTAGGACCTGGTTGTGGCTCTCTGCTTGTTTTCTCACTAAGAACCTTTCCATAGTGACTCGTTTTCCTCTATGGTCATTCTCACATGTGTTAAGGTTCTTGGCTTGAACCTTACCACTGGCTTTCTTGGGACCCATGGCGAGATATATAACTACTTTTATGTTCATATATCCAAAAATCTCCCCCAAATTTAATTCTTTACAAAGAATTCAGGGGCGATTATCACTAGGCGGGAGGCACTAGTAAACTGAGGTGCGATCGTCGTGCCACCACACACTAGGTTAGCCATATGCGTATCAACACACTTCCCCCCCCCCCCCCCCCCCGAGTCAAACCTCGTAACCCGATTCGGATTTTATGAAGAAATTGGGCTCGTAACTCGATTCGGATTTTATGAAGAAATTGGGCTTGTAACCCGAAAGTTCGTAAATAAGGGCATTCGTTAGCTGAGGTGTCACTGTACATTAACCTTTTTTCTTAGCACACATTATTTTTTGTTTCTTATTGTCCCTTTTATTCATCCAATATTTCACATTTCCTTATGAGCCCCACACATGGTTCCTGGGACCTGGACAGGAGTGGATCCCAGTTTTAAAGTCAATATTACCCTAATGAAGTGGAATTTGGGAAGAAGAGTCCTCAATGCAATCTTGTTAATAATTTATTGGGAAATATAGGGTTGACTGTACCAGAGTGATGGGTGATGCTTTAACCCTTAAATTGCACATCGCATCATATGATGCTTTGGAGTACTACGCAAGATTTAAACGGCCCACGGATACACGGGGTTCACCAAACCTTCATCAGGGCTCTTGTAAGCAGACGCCATTTTTTAAAAAAATCGTGGGCCAAATCCCCGGGTGTTAGGGGCCTCAGTATTGAGTGAGCTACCAAGCATGACGCACGCAGCATGAGCTCACAGCACTGCTGTTCAGCTTGTGACCACAGCATCGCCTAAAAATGCCATAATATACTTGTTCATGCTATTATGTAGCGATGATGTTATTACACAAGACCCCTGACTGTGATAAAACTGACCAGGGTTCTGATAATAGCAGGATTGTGGTGATATTTAGTGCTGTGCTCCATGTTGGGCGGAGTAATGCTGTGGGAGGGAGGGAGGGTGGTGGCATTGTCTTCTGACTGTGTGTGGCCACCTTTTATTAACTGCACTCACCATACCAGCTTAGTGGCTCGCTATGGTGAACACAAATGTAGATACTTATATATAACATGTGTATAGAGAGTATAAAATGCAAGAGAAGTAGGTTGGGAGCCGCCATTTTGGTGAGGGGGTGGCGTCGCCTGCACGATTTATCATGATGTTTACTGGTAACCACGATGGTCTTTGGGCACCATACCAGTTTACTTGTACAAGTATGGTAAATAAAACGGGTAGATATTTATATATAATGTGTGTATATAGTGTAATAACACCACAAACAGTATTGTTGGAGGAGAAATATTAGTGCGTCTGGCCTTGAGGGCGGCAGCCATCAGCTGACTGTGTGAGGTCCTATGTCTTTGTGCCTTTACTTTTTTTTTTTTTTTTTGCAGGGATATTCCTGCACGGGCCCTAAGCCTCTGGCTGGCCCACTAAGTGTTGCTTGTTTCTGTTTTACTTGGGCGGAGTATGAGTATTTATTACTCGTATGGTCGCTTCAGTAAGATTTTGCCATGTGTGTTTAACATGTGTGTTGTTCTGCTCTGTTGAATCTAAGTTGAAATCTTAATGGGTTTGTAACTGTTCACTGTGTTAGATAATGTTCCAGTGGTCTGTCGGGCATTTCTCCACAGTGCTGACATTTCCTCTCATCTTCCAGAACCTGTAAGCCTATTTCCCATGCACATGGGTATCTAAGCCTGATACGATGTAAGTGCACTTCAGTTGCTCTACTGCTCCCTTTCATCAAACTAAGTGGTTCGTAGTTGGTTGTGCCTTTACTCACCATACAAGCTTAGATGTACAGTTATGGTGAACAAAACATGTAAATACTTATATATATAATGTCTGTATATAAAAGCAAAAACAGTATGGTGGGTGGAGAATGGTGGCAAGTCAGGTGAGATGAGGGAGGGAGGGAGGGAGTGGCAGCCAGTGGCAGGCTGCCACTGCCACTCAGCACGCCAACTTGTGGTTCGTTATGGTGAACACGAATGTAGATACTTATATATAGCATTTGTATATAGTGAATAAAAGCAAAAACAGTATGGTGGGAGGAGAATGTGGACGAGTGAGGTGTTGAGGGAGGGCGTGAGTGGCTGGCTGGTACATGGCGGTCACTCCTCGTTACTTTTTGACTCATAATAGCAACTTAGTGGTTAGTTATGGTAAACAAAATATGCAGATACTTATATATAACCTGTGTATATAGTGTAATAACCAACAAAGTATTTGTTCACTGTTTGATGAACATAATTGAATCAACAATATACACACCATATTTTTGAGTACAGCGATGATTCACTCATTTTATTATATAAATATATCACACTACACACTATTGAATAATATTACAGTAAAAAAAAAAAAAAACTACGAAAAATCAATCAGAGACATTGAAATAATTAGGTAATTATCTCTTTGTGGCAACTCCGGCCTGACAGTTGGCAAGCAACAGACCGCCTGGGACACACGCTGAGTCAGCACCTGTTTTTTGCCAGACTTCCCCGCCCTATAGCGGGCAATATATGCCACTTACGATTTTTTTATTATTTTTCCCATGATCAGTGAACACAAATTAACAGGTTTGGAAGAAAAAATATTTTTTTTTTTTTTTTTGTATACACCTGTGGGTGTCAAATAGTATATAGCCATGTGTCATTTAAGGGTTAACCATATCCATATGCCTACTATCTTTTAATAATCTTTCAATGTTTAACCACCATGCTGCGCCGAGTTTATTGTGAAATTCCACCGGTACGCATGAAATAAAGTGTTCCCAAAACATTCTTTTTCTTCTTAAAATGATAAATTCCCTTCCCTAAACATGTCTATTTAAAAATAAATACCAAATTCCACTTACTTTGGCTGTGGGGATGTGGACAAGGTGCGCTGTGACGTCATCAGGGCCTGGTTGCCCGTGCGTGAATCACCCAGACACGGTCGCGCGGGCCATTCAAGCACCGGGTGTTGCCACAAATATATTTTCAATTATTTGTTTTATGTATTTCTAATGTGGTTTTATTTTTTTTTATCATATATGATGCATATTTGTGTCCTTTACAATATGTATACAGTAGAACGTTCATAATGGTCCCTGGAACTGTGATACATGTGTCAGCAATGTGTCCACAATAAATATTTATTGTCTCAATATTACCTGTTAAAAATTCACTAAAATTACAAAATGTACAGTTTCACACACTATTTACACAGTAATACACTGTATTACACACTCGGTACTTAAGTGAGTAATAATCAACGAAGTAGCCCATGGTACACAGCGCGACTTCGCTCTCAGTGCACCAGGTTCAGATAAATTTTCGCTTCCTATTTCTTCATTCTGTGTGCTTGCAAATCTATGATACATCTATGTATCATCTAAATAAATTGTAGATAGCATTGAATTGCAAGAATGACGCTCAGAGCTACAACTGGATACGCTCACTGTATCGTCTCTCATAGGTGCTGTATCACTTGCATCTGACCTTTGTGTTAGGTCCTTATTGCGCCTAACTTCATCAATATTATGACCCTTATGTTCTTCAAACAATAAGGTTTGAATTTCACCGACAGAGCGTTATCTTTCAACACCGCATCAAACAGGTGTTTGGGAGCCAGAGGCGCGTGTACCACCCATGGTTGCTAATTCAGTACTAACCAGACAGCAGACCTAGGGCATTCGGGGAATTTTTTCCAAGATAGCTGCCTCTCACTGGAGGTCCGAAGAGTCCATTTTGTACACAACCAGCCTCGTACACATTCAGAATTGGTACCGAAAAATCAAAAAGAGTTTTCTTGGTTGGCACAGTTTCCCGCCGACCGAGAATACTCGGTCGGCGCATTTAAGTGGTTAACCACCATGCTGCGCCAAGTTTATTGTAAAATTCCCCCTGTGTGCATGAAATACAGTGTTCCCCCCCCAAAAAAATTTTCTTCTTAAAATGATAAATTCCCTTCCCTAAACATGTCTATTTAAAAATAAATACCAAATTTCACTTACTTTGGCTGTAGGGATGTGGACAAGGTGCGCTGTGATGTCATCAGGGGCTGGTTGCCCGTGCATTACTCGCCCAGACACGGTCGTGCGGGCCATTCAAGCACCGGGTGTTGCCACAAATATATTTTCAATTATTTGTTCTATGTATTTCCAATACGGTTTTATTTGTTTTTTTATCGTATATGATGCATATTTGTGTCCTTTACAATATGTATACAGTAGAACGTTCATAAAGTTCCATGGAACTGTGATACATGTGTCAGTAATGTGTCCACAATAAATGTTTATTGTCGCAATATTACTTGTTAAAAATTCACTAAAAGTACAATATGTACACTTTCACACACTATTTACACAGTAACACACTGTATTACACACTCACATCTATCTGGACCTAAAAAAGGCTTTCGACAGAGTTCCACATAAGAGGTTGTTCTGGAAACTGGAAAATATTGGAGGGGTGACAGGTAAGCTTCTATCATGGATGAAAAATTTTCTGACTGATAGAAAAATGAGGGCAGTAATCAGAGGCAATGTATCGGAATGGAGAAATGTCGCAAGTGGAGTACCACAGGGTTCAGTTCTTGCACCAGTGATGTTTATTGTGTACATAAATGATCTACCAGTTGGTATACAGAATTATATGAACATGTTTGCTGATGATGCTAAGATAATAGGAAGGATAAGAATTTAGATGATTGTCATGCCCTTCAAGAAGACCTGGACAAAATAAGTATATGGAGCACCACTTGGCAAATGGAATTTAATGTTAATAAATGTCATGTTATGGAATGTGGAATAGGAGAACATAGACCCCACACAACTTATATATTATGTGAGAAATCTTTAAAGAATTCTGATAAAGAAAGAGATCTAGGAGTGGTTCTAGATAGAAAACTATCACCTGAGGACCACATTAAGAATATTGTGCAAGGAGCCTATGCAATGCTTTCTAACTTCAGAATTGCATTTAAATACATGGATGGCGATATACTAAAGAAGTTGTTCATGACGTTTGTTAGGCCAAAGCTAGAATATGCAGCTGTTGTGTGGTGCCCATATCTTAAGAAGCACATCAACAAACTGGAAAAGGTGCAAAGACATGCTACTAAGTGGCTCCCAGAACTGAAGGGCAAGAGCTACGAGGAGAGGTTAGAAGCATTAATATGCCAAAACTAGAAGACAGAAGAAAAAGAGGTGATATGATCACTACGTACAAAATAGTAACAGGAATTGATAAAATCGACAGGGAAGACTTCCTGAGACCTGGAACTTCAAGAACAAGAGGCCATAGATTTAAACTAGCTAAACACAGATGCCGAAGAAATATAAGAAAATTCACCTTCGCAAATAGAGTGGTAGACGGTTGGAACAAGTTAAGACTCAGTACTTTGGAAGCGAGTAATAATCAATGAAATAGTCCATGGTACAGAGCGCTACTTCGCTCTTGTTGCATCAGGTACAGATAGATTTTCGCTTCCTGTTTCTTTGTTTTGTGTGCTTGCAAATAATGCACTCACATACACCCTTGGCATTAATACCTGTAGGTGGTATGTAGCCAAGCTTGTAAAGTGTAAGGTGGTCTTGAAAAGATTATAGGGTAAGATCAATTTGTAAGGTAGTCGTGAAAAGATCGCTTTGTAAGGTCCCACACAGGAAGAGATTCAGCCAGCCTCAAAGAGTGTCCATCAGTCGGGAAGAGATTCTGGAAGAGAATCAGCTAGCCTCAAAGAGTGTCTGTCAGTCACAAAGAGATTCAGCTATTCTTGAAAATATCTATGGAAAACACCATCATGGAAGCCGCTAACACTGTTCATCTATGCTACTTGTATCAGATGCATCATTACTGAACGCAGAAAATGATTCATCTATGTATCATCTATATAAATTGGAGATAGCATAGGTGGGCAAGGGTGGCACTCACAGCTACAACTTGATAAGCTTGCTGTATATTCTTCATGGGTGCTGTATCACTTGCATCCGACCTTTGTGTTAGGTCCTTACTGCGCCTAGCTTCACCAATATTATGACCCTTATGTTCCTCAAACAATATGGTTTGAATTTCACTGACAGAGTGCGATCTTTCAACACTGTCGGACAGGTGTTTGGGAGCCAAAGGCGCGTGTGCCCCCCATAGTTGCTCACTCAGTACTAACCCAGCCAGCAGCCCTAGGGCATTCTGGGAATTTTTTCCAAGATGACTGCCTCTCACTGGAGGTCCTAAGAGTCCATTTTGTACACAACCAACCGCACACACATTTAGAATGGGTACGAAAAAATTAAAAAGTTTTCTCGGCTGGCGCAGTTTTCCACGAACTGAGAATACTCGGTTGGCACAGTTAAGTGGTTAATTCACCAAGTGTAAGTAGATAAATGAATAAAGAATGCATTCTTCCAAAAATACTAACCCTCAGCATCAGTAAGTCCAGCATCATTCATCATGGATACTTGTTCAAGAGCAGGGTCATCTGTTGTGTAGCCAGTACTTTCCTGATCAAGTAATGGTTCAGATGCTGCTCCATCATCATCTTCACTCCATTCTGATTGACTTGTCTCTCCACCATCACCACTTCCACCCTGTAGATGATTAAAAGAACAGTAACAAAAATATATGAAATCTCTCGATGACAATTTATCGAACCAGAAATTTGCAGGACAAGCAAACCATTTGAACAATAGAAATAAAGGAATAATCAAGACATCCAGAGAACACACATGAAAATGTGGAACTGATGCAAAATTACCATTAACCCTTCAACTAAAAAAAACAATGGAAAATGCAAAATAAAACCAGTGAAGAGCAGGGGTGCCATAAGCACAATTAGGGAACACTGTATAAACACCAGAGGTCCATGGTTGTTCAACATCCTCCCAGTGAGTATTAGAAATATTGCCAGAACAACCATGGACATCTTTAACCCTAAACCGCTAAGGGCTTTTTGGCCTGCAACACTGCCAGGCACAAAAAAAAAAAAAAAAAAAAAAAAATTGTTTTGTCTTATAAAAGTGTTCATTTGTGTTCCATAATCATGGGGGAAAAGAAAAAAATAAAAAAAATCGTAGGCGACATATTTTGACCGCAATAGGGCGGGAAAGTCTGGCAAAAAACCAGCATTGAATGTAATGAAACGCCATTTTCTGGGTGAGCCCCGGAGGCTCCCTAGAGCTTATCGGGCTAATGTATGTTATATTAGACCAGGACATTAGCTAAGGAGTTCAGACCTACCAGGGACCAGCGCCAGAATCTGGCCCCTTCAGAGAGGTTTCAGGGAGCAATGGCCCTGGAAAACCCCCTTGTGGTTGGGGTTTTCCTTATCTGTCCTTTTCGGTCGTGTGGCTGGAGCCACACGACCATGCACCATCCCATCAGCCGAGGAACTGAGGCGTGGATCGCTGGCTCGGGGGTCTGGGGCTCCCCCTTCTCCCTCCCGGGGAGGGGGGGAGCTGCGCAGACATGCGGCGCGGCTCGTGTGACGTCATGCTTGTTTGCTTGTTTTTCTTTTGGGGAGTTCTGTCCACTCATTTGTCAATTTTCGTTGTTAACCAGAATAGGGGTTTGTTTTGTGGTGCTTACCTTTCTGGGTGCCTCCCCCGGTCGATGGCAGATATAAAATGCTCCAAATCACATGTGCATTTCTATGGGCCATTGCTCCCCGTGCCTCTGTGAGGGGGGCCAGGTACTGGCTCATGGTCCCCGGTAGGCTAGAACTCCACCCACATCGACTAATGCAAAATAGTTAGGATATCCATATTAGCTCCGGGGAGCCATAGTGGCTCCCCCCAAAAATGACCAGGATTCTGATAATAGCAGGAGTGTTGTGATAATTAGCACTGTAGTGGGAGGAGTAATCTTGGTGGGAAGGGAAGCAGCATTGTCTGCTGACTCTGTGCAGCCACCTTTTACTGTCTGGACTCGCTATACTGTACCTGCTTGTGGTTCGCTATGGTGAACACAAATGTAGATACTTTTGTTTTTTTTCAAATTCTAATTTTTTTCATTTTTTTTTAAGAAACAGAGCAGCCTACCTGACATACATTGAACAAACCTTTGGCTATAAACAAATGAAAAAATAAAAAAAAGTGAACAAATTTGAAAAACGGACGAATGTCAAGAAGGTTTGTTCAGTATATGTCAGGTAGGCTGCTCCATAGTTTAAATAATCGAATGTCATATTGATGTTTTGCAGCGGTGGAAAGGATTAATTTTATTTACAATATTTTAAATGGGGAAATTTGTTTCGAAAGACGAGCATTTCATATGATGAGCTCGGTGCCAGAATGGATTAAATTCGATAATCGGGGCTCCACTGTATAGTGTAATAACACCAAAGGAGTGTTGGGAGAAGCCATTTTGGTGAGGGAGGTGGCATCATTTTTCTGACTTGTCATGCTGTATAAGGATGGCCACTATGCTCTTTGTGCACTATACCAGCTTAGATGAACAGTTATGGTGAACAGAACATGTAGATATTTATATATACAGTGGTAATTACCTAAGTGTAATTACCTAAGTGTAGTTACAGGATGAAAGCTACGCTCGTGGTGTCCCGTCTTCCCAGCACTCTTTGAAACTACTGACGGTCTTGGCCTCCACCACCTTCTCACTTAACTTGTTCCAACCGTCTACCACTCTATTTGCGAAGGTGAATTTTCTTATATTTCTTCGGCATCTGTGTTTAGCTAGTTTAAATCTATGACCTCTTGTTCTTGAAGTGCCAGGTCTCAGGAAATCTTCCCTGTCGATTTTATCAATTCCTGTTACTATTTTGTATGTAGTGATCATATCACCTCTTTTTCTTCTGTCTTCTAGTTTTGGCATGTTTAATGTTTCTAACCTCTCCTCGTAGCTCTTACCCTTCAGTTCTGGGAGCCACTTAGTAGCATGTCTTTGCACCTTTTCCAGTTTGTTGATGTGCTTCTTAAGATATGGGCACCACACAACAGCTGCATATTCTAGCTTTGGCCTAACAAAAGTCATGAACAATTTCTTTAGTATATCGCCATCCATGTATTTAAATGCAATTCTGAAGTTAGAAAGCATAGCATAGGCTCCTTGCACAATATTCTTTATGTGGTCCTCAGGTGATAGTTTTCTATCTAGAACCACCCCTAGATCTCTTTCTTTATCAGAATTCTTTAAAGATTTCTCACATAATATATAGGTTGTGTGGGGGTCTCTGTTCTCCTATTCCACATTCCATAACATGACATTTATTAACATTAAATTCCATTTGCCAAGTGGTGCTCCATCTACTTATTTTGTCCAGGTCTTCTTGAAGGGCATGACAATCATCTAAATTTCTTATCCTTTTTATTATCTTAGCATCATCACCAAACATGTTCATATAATTCTGTATACCAACTGGTAGATCATTTATGTACACAATAAACATCACTGGTGCAAGAACTGAACCCTGTGGTACTCCACTTGTGACATTTCTCCATTCCGATACATTGCCTCTGATTACTGCCCTCATTTTTCTATCAGTCAGAAAATTTTTCATCCATGATAGAAGCTTATCTGTCACCCCTCCAATATTTTCCAGTTTCCAGAACAACCTCTTATGTGGAACTCTGTCGAAAGCCTTTTTTAGGTCCAGATAGATGCAGTCAACCCAACCATCTCTTTCCTGTAATATCTCTGTGGCTCGATCATAGAAACTGAGTAAATTCGATACACAGGATCTTCCAGATCGAAAACCATACTGTCTGTCTGATATTATATCATTTCTCTCCAGGTGTTCTACCCATTTAGTTTTGATTACTTTTTCCAATACTTTCACTATTACACTTGTCAATGATACAGGTTTATAATTGAGGGGGTCTTCCCTGCTACCACTTTTGTAGATTGGAACTATGTTAGCCTGTTTCCACACGTCTGCTACGATTCCTGTACACAGGGATGCCTGAAAGATCAGGTGAAGTGGAATGCTGAGCTCAGATGCACATTCTCTCAGAACCCATGGTGAAACGCCATCTGGGCCAGCTGCTTTGTTCTTACCGAGCTCCTTGAGCATTTTTTCCACTTCGTCTCTAGACACCTCTATGTGCTCTATGTTGTTCTCTGGAATTCTTATTGTATCTGGTTCCCTAAAGATTTCATTTTGTACAAACACACTTTGGAACTTTTCGTTTAGTGTTTCACACATTTCCTTTTCATCTTCCGTGAATCTATTTCCCATTTTCAACCTCTGAATATTATCCTTTACCTGCAATTTGTTGTTTATGAATTTATAGAATAGACCTGGTTCTGTTTTACATTTGTCTGCAATCCCTTTTTCAAAATTTCTTTCTGCCTCTCTCCTCACTGCCGTGTAGTTGTTTCTCGCATCTTTGTATCGCTGGTATGTTTGGGGGTTTGGCTTCTTCCTGTATTGATTCCATTTTTGTGTCTTTTGGTCTCTAGCCCTCTAGCAATTTCTATTGAACCAATCCTGTTTTCTAGTTCTGCATCTCTGTTTTGGTATAAATTTTTTTGTGCCTTTATCATATATTTCACAAAACTTGACATACATCTCATTCACTTCCTTGCCTAGCATCAAGTCTGTCCAATTATACTCACTAAAAAAATTTCTAAGGTCACCATAATGTCCTCTCCTGAAGTCTGGTTTTTCAACTGCTTCAACCTCCTTATTTTCTTCCAGCTTATAACGCATTGCATACTTTATTCCCAAAAAGACATGGTCACTTTTACCCAAGGGAGGAAGGTACTGAATGTCAAATATCTCTTCCTCCTTCCTGGTAAATATCAAATCTAGCATGGAGGGAACGTCCCCTTCCCACATCCTCGTAGCTTGTTTAACATGTTGATTCAAGAATGTTTCCAGGATGAGGTCTACAAATTTACAGGTCCAAAAATCTTCTGTTTTAGCTTCATATGCTTCCCAGTCTATGGATTTCAAGTTGAAGTCACCGACTATCAACAGTCGTGATCTATCGTTATCCGCTCTCGCTATAATCTCTCTCATTATTGTTATAAGACCTTCACGTTTACTATCTAGCTCCTCCTTTGACCATGTGCTGCTTGGCGGTGGACTATATGCATTTATTATCACTAGTTTATCATCCTCATGGCAGATCTCTAGTGCTATTATGTCAACTTCTTGTGGATTGGCAGTCATTATTTCGTTCACCTTTAGGTGTTCTTTTACCAGCACAGCAACGCCACCGCCTTTCCTAATTTTTCTGTCCCGTCTCCAAATCGAGTAGCCCCTTGGGAATATGACCTCATTTAAAATTACATCTTCAAGTTTTGTCTCCGTGAGTGCAACAATGTCTGGTGTCTGCAGCTGTATTACATCACTTAACTCCAGTATCTTCGATCTCACTCCATCTATGTTAGTGGTACCTCGGTTTAAGAGTTTAATCCGTTCCTGGAGACATCTCGTATTCTGAAAACTCGTATTCCGAAGCTAATTTCCCCATAAGAATTAATGGGAAATGAATTAATCCGTTCCTGACTACCTCAAAAACCCCCACTTCAAACTAAATTTTATACCTAATTCATCTAAATAAACCTACAAAACTATGTTCAAGTTATTACTTACCTTGCTGTTGGCGTATGGAAGATGGTGAGGAGGAGGGAGGAGAAGAGATGTTACTGTTTGGAAAGGGAGTCCCCTTCCATTATAACATCAGGCAGTGAGGACTTCACTGGTATGCACACACTGGCACGTTTTGCCTGCATACCACTAAGACTTGCTTGTCTTAATAAGAATCTGTCTAAAGACACTTGTTTTTCCCTACATTTTAACACTTCTGTAGTAAGACATCACATTGTCATTTAAAAGGTCAATGCAACAGCCTGCTACAGCTTTATCTGGGAAAGTTTTTTTAACAAAACTTTGCAATTCTTCCCATACTCCACACATTTTCTTAACACTTTAGCATTATCATGGCGCTCAAGAGCATTACCACTTTTTGTGTTGAGGTCGCACAGCAGATTCGCTCATGAGTCACGAGAAAAAATATTTCTTATAAACTATTTGTTATGCGATCGACTTTGGGATAGTTTGAAAATGTCCGCCATGAAATTTTCGTTTTCTCTAATAGCCACATAGCCTATTTGAGAGAACGGTAGAGCATTGCACCATCGAGGTAAGACCACTGTATTGTTGACACGACAAGTGTAATCGACGTAGTTTTTTATTTGGTGCCGGTCTAACGCATCCTTGTGTGACATTTTATACTTATGTTCTTAGATAACATTCTATTGCGAACACATTGGTATAAAAATGAAATAAGTAAATCGAAAATTAATGTCAGGACAGTGCAAAGAGTATACACTTTTCAGTGTTGCCACTCAATCGCCCGAAACGCGGCACTATTTTCTTAGGTTAAACCTTACCATTGGCTTTCTTGGGACCCATGGCGAGATATATAATAACTTTTATGGTCAAATGACCAAAAATCCAACAAAACACTGAAAATCCGGGTGAAGAATTGACGTGGGATAGTCACTGGGCGCGAGGCACTGCTAAACTGAGGGGTGAGAGGCGACGATCGCCGTACCACCATGCGCTAGGTCGGCCTGTACGCGTATCAACAAACTCGCCTTCCGAGATAACCCTCGCCTTCCGAGACACATTTTCCAAGGAAATCCTGCTCGTATTCCAAAAAACTCGTATACAGGGACACTCGTATTCCGAGGTACCACTGTATAAATCTGTATGTAGTGAATAAAAGCAAAACATACCAGCGATACAAAGATGTGAGAAACAACTATAAGGCAGTGAGGAGAGAGGCAGAAAAACATTTTGAAAAAGGGATTGCAGACAAATGTAAAACAGAACCAGGTCTATTCTATAAATTCATAAACAACAAATTGCAGGTAAAGGATAATATTCAGAGGTTGAAAATGGAAAATAGATTCACAGAAAATGAAAAGAAAAGGTGTGAAACATTAAACAAAAAGTTCCAAAGTGTGTTTGTACAAAATAAAATCTTCAGGGAACATCTAAACTATTGGGACCGACTAAAGAGCCTAAATCTGTACTCCCTTGAGCGCAGGCAGGAGAGATACATAATAATTTACACGTGGAAAATATTAGAGGGGCTGGTCCCAAACCTGCACACAGAAATAACATCACATGAGACCAGAAGACATGGCAGGATGTGCAGAATACCCCCATTGAAAAGCAAAGGTGCAACAGGTACTCAGAGAGAACTCTATCAACATCAGAGGCCCGAGAGTGTTCAACACGCTTCCGCTACACATAAGGGACATAACTGGCCGACCCCTCACAGTGTTCAAGAGAGAACTGGATAAGCACCTCCAAAGGATACCTGATCAACCAGGCTGTGACTCATACATCAGGCTGCGAGCAGCCGCGTCCAACAGCCTGGTTGATCAGTCCGGCAACCAGGAGGCCTGGTCGATGACCGGGCCGCGGGGACACTAAGCCCCAGAAGCACCTCAAGGTAACCTCAAGGTAAGGTAACCAGACACACTAAGAATTCCAGGGAACAACATAGAGCACATAGAGGTGTTTAGAGATGAAGTAGAAAAAATGCTTAAGGAGCTAAGAAAGAACAAACAGTTCAGAATAAACAAGAACAAACTCGGTTCTCAGTTCAGAACAAACAGAACAATGACAGTTCAATGTCTACATAAACGATCTACCAGATGGAATACAAAATTATATGAACATGTTTGCTGATGATGCCAAGATAATAGGGAAGATAAGAAACCTAGATGATTGCCGTGCCCTTCAAGAAGACCTGGACAAAATAAGTATATGGAGCACCACTTGGCAAATGGAATTTAATGTGAATAAATGCCATGTTATGGAATGTGGAATTGGAGAACATAGACTCTACACAACCTATAAATTATGTGAAAAATCTTAAAGAATTCTGACAAAGAAAGGGATGTAGGGGTGGTTCTAGATAGAAAACTGTCATCTGAGGACCACACTAAGAACATTGTGCAAGGAGCATATGCTACACTTTCTAACTTCAGAATTGCTTTTAAATACACGGATGGAGAAATACTAAAGAAATTGTTCACGACTTTTGTTAGACCAAAGCTGGAATATGCAGTGGTTGTATGGTGCCCATATCTTTTAAGAAGATCAACAACAAACTGGAAAAGGTACAAAGACATGCCACTAAGTGGTCCCAGAACTGAAGGACAAGAGCTGCGAGGAGAGGTTAAGAGGCATTAAATATGCAAAAATTAGAAGATAGAAGAAAGAGACGATATGATCACTATGTACAAAATAGTAACAGGAATCTATAAAATTGATAGGGAAAAATTCCTGAGACCCGGAACTTTAAGAACAAGAGGTCATAGATTTAAACTAACGAAACAAAGCTGTCGGAGAAATATAAGAAAATTCACTTTTGTTTACAGAATGGTAAACGGTTGGAACAAGTTAGGTGAGAAGGTGGTGGAGGCCAAAACCATCAGTAATTTCAAAGCGTTATATGACAAAGAGTGCTGAGAAGACAGGACACAACAAGCATAGCTCTCATCCTGTAACTACACTTTGATAATTACATTTAGACAATTACAGCACTGGAACGTCAGGAGCCAGGGTCGCACGACTTCCAGGTCTCACATCAGCCTCAGAACTGGGGGTGGATTTTTAGTTCCCCCCTCCCCCCCTCCTGGGAAGAGGGGAGATGTATGCACAGCAGCGTGGTGACAGTTGTGATGTCATGCTCATTTGCTTATTTTTCGTTTGGGAAGTTCTGCTTAACAGTTCGGTTTTCATGAACAATTTTTCAACCAGATTTTTGTTTTGGGGTGCCTACCTTTGTGGGTGCCTGACCCAGTCAATGGCAGACATAGAATGCTTCCAACCACATGGGGGTGTTTATAGGCCATTACTCCTCATACCTCTCTGAGGGGGGCCAGGTTCTGTCTCATGGTCCCCGGTAGGCAGAACTTCATTCGCTTTGACTGAGGCCATGGTCTGATACATTCATATCAGTCCAGATAGCTCCGGGAAGCTGAAGGGGCTCCCCCAGAAAAGGTGTGTTATATTTAAATGTTTTATGTTCCATAAGATATCCAATGCATATGAAATTATAAACTTACTGGTAATGGTGCAACTGAAGGCTTATCTGTTCTTTCTGCATCGGTTGCATTTAGTTCCTGGGCCATTCTCCGTTCTTCCTCCTCAAAGGATCTCACATCATCATCATCCGCTTGATGCTCAACTGTTCTGTTGCTCAATCTGCCAATACTGTGGCTTTGTGCTTGGTCATCTCTCCTCCCATCAGCTCCGCTGTCACCACAGGCAGGTGTTACGTCTTCGTTTTCTAATCTAACATTGTTTAACTGTTCATCATCAGTTGATGCATCTTGGACATCTGATTCCATGTTTTCATATTCACTGTGACCACAGCCGGCTGCGATTCTGCTCAATGATAACACAACATACTCTAGTTAGCCTTCAACACCCCACAAAAGTTTTCACAACAAACTACTGTATGTTGCAGCTACACCACAAGCAATTCTAAGAATGAATTAATGGAATTTGTAGAGTTTATTTAAATTAATTTATATTAGAAGTATTATTTATATACATTCTAGATTTAAAGCAGTTTTATTTTAGCAAATTATGTTCTTGAATGTTTTGGTAGCATTACATCTCTATATATGCTGACATTAACAGATATAACAGTGCCTGAAACATACACTGAAGAACTGTGTGTCTTGGATTGACTAATGCAGGAATGAAATACAAATTGTTATATCACAAAATTCAAGATACAGTATTGAAGAGATTCAACTGCGATGCAACTGAAGATGGTAAACAGAATAGCAGCTATTAAAAATACTATACTGTACTGTGTGAGTAAAAAAAAATAATTCAATACACATCACAAACAACTTAATGTGCTACTTAATAATAATAGTAATAAATTTTAAAACTGTGGTGTATACTCTTTAACATGGTCAAATATTAGGGTGCATTACTATAACTAGTAATTAAAAATCAAATGCCTAAATAAATTACATTTTGCATTTACGAAAGATCTCCTTCCCTAATATCCGAGTTTTTCCAAACTGTATAAAATTAAAAAAAATTGTATGTTATAGTTTAAATAAGCAAATAATATGTTTGATCATAAAAATTTGGTGTAAGTGTTAATAAATTACAAATCTTATTATAATGTATAAAAATGAAACCTGCTGATCAATAAATCACAAGCAGATTTGCAAATTAAGTAATATACTGTAGTTGAAGTATGTTATTTTTTTTACCTTAATTATATGAACTTCCTCTCAAGAAGTTAAAGCTGCACATAAAACAAGTTAGTGACAGAAGGATGATCAGGTCATATGAGTGGCATACCTTAACATTATACATAACAAACTTCCATTCTTGTTAGTAAATTCTGTTGTGCAGGAAAACGACACTCATGCAAGAATGATAATAGAAAAGCAGTGTGTTAACTCTTACCTTCTAAGCTGAAAGAAGTTACAAATGCAACTTATTTTACAAATATTATTGTAACCCTTGCAGCTACAGTTCACTTTTAATCGAGTGGAATTAAAAATAGTTAAAAATGAAGATGACAATGATTATATACAAGTAATTTCTAGAACTGAATATTTATGGCTTCAAAACTGAATACCATCCACAAAAGAATAAATACTCCATACACAAAACACAAATATTTAAAACACACAAAACAAAAAACATAGAAGTACTTAGAGATCACTCTCAAACACAATTAGGCATTTCCAAAGCCTTTGGTCCCTGCAAAGCTTAGGCGTGACCAAAAAGCCGGAACTCAATTCTCGCAAGCACAAATAGGTAAGTACAATTAGGCAATTATTCTCACTCGCGCACACACATTTGAAGAGAAAAGGGAAAAAGAATATATCAGAGAAATGCGAATTTAACCCTTGGCATCTGGCTATCATTAAATTTGCCAATCTACCTGTATGTAGTACTAAAAAAAATTATAAATAGATATATTGCATGCATTAAATAAGTACTGTATGAGTTTGGTTATCCAAAGCCTGCTTCACTGAATACTGTATTTGGTTATCTGGTCAAATTCGCATCCAGATAGTTTTCTGGGTAAAATTTTGACATATCCCGACAGAAATCCTGATAACCAAAGATTTGGCTCGATAGCACAGACTAGCACAGAGCCCAAGTCAAATCAGGGTAATTTTCTGGCAAAACTTCGCCATATCCGGAAAGAAATCTGAATTACTGGAGATTAGGTTATATAAATTTTCAAGAACTACACATTTAAAATTTTACCAAATCAAAACAGGACAATGAACTACTACAAGGTAAGCTGCAGTTTGTTTCAAATTATTTTTCTATTTATAGTGTGTGTATAAATTCTAATTTTGTTGGTTGTGGTACAAAAAATAGCAAATATGGTAATTTTTGGACTTCCCTTGTAAGAATTTTGCTTATCCAGGGTTATCTGGTGAGAAGTCTTTCCCACATAATGCAATAAATGAAACAAATTAGTTTTTTTGTTTTGTTTTGTTTCATGCACACTGGGGGAAGGCAATGGGCGAGTCATTGGGGTCCATAAACTTGAGACAACCCAATTCACTTACGTGCCATGAAGAAAAAAGTGTTTTTAATATCAAGTTAGATGGTTATATGTTCACTCTTTCACTTTAGTTTACACTTGAAACCATAATAGTCAAATCACTAAGGTTGTAAGCTGGCCAAATGCATTATGAGCTTGAAGTAAGTAAGCAAGTAATTATCAAAAGAAGGCACCAAACCGGGAAGGTTATGTAGCACCATCAAATGTGCGGGATAATCAGAGGGTGCTAAATGTCACCAAGGACACCAATACGAGAACAGAAACGCATAAGGCGAACGATATCAAAAGTATCCGAGTCACTGAGAATACTATCGAGAGACAAGCGACCACGGGGGACGGTCGGAAAACAAGACACACGCTCGTCCCGGAAATCAGGACACTCAACAAGGACATGCACGACCGTAAGAGGGACAATGCAATTAGGACAATAAGGAGCAGGGCGGGGCTCCAAGTGACCATGAGTTAAGCGAGTATGGCAACCTCGCCAGAGCCGTTTCCCATCGCCGGTTACGGTGGCAGGAGGACGGCCACGAGGACACACAACTTTAAGAGAACGTAGCTTGTTACCAGTAACAGACGACCAACAAGCCTGCCAACGGGTAAGGATGGAGGAATGGATAACCGGGTAAAAGTCAGAATAAGGAATGCCTTTACAAGAGATGGGACAAGAGTGGACAGCTTCCCTGGCGGCAGCATCCGCACCCTCATTTAAAGAGACACCAATATGGCTGGGAATCAAACAAAACTCAACTGACTTAAATTTACTGTGAACAAGAAACAGCCAATGCTGGATCTCAACAACCACTGGATGAACTGGATTAAAGGACCCAAGAGCCATGAGGGCACTACGAGAGTCAACAACAATAACTAAAGAAAGATTGACAATGAGAGAGCAGGAGACAAAGAGCATAGAGAATAGCATAAAGCTCCACTGTGAGGATGCTAGTCTCCGGAGGTAAGCGACACACAAGTGTGATCAGGAAAAACTACAGAGTAGCCAACACCGTCCGCAGACTTAGACCCATCAGTGAAGACGGAAACGGAGTGCGAGTGAGAAGAAAAGTGCTCAAGGAAAAGGCGTTTTAGAACCGTAGGAGAGGTAAAAGCTTTAGTGATGTGGGTCAAGGATGTACAAAGCTGCAGAAGGGGGACTCTCCACGGAGGCAAAGAAGGAACAACATGGGGAGAAATATTAGAATCACGAACGGAAAGAGAATCCTGTTAGCGAGATAACCGGACAGAAAGAGGGAGGCGGTGAAGAGGAACAGGAACCGCAGGAGGGGTAAAAGTTAAAGCACGACAGAGGCGAGAGGAAGGATATTGCAAGGATCGTGCAAGATAGCGAAGACAGTAGCGATCACGGCGGTCCTGGAGAGACAGGAAGCCAGTGTCAACATACAAGCTGAGGACGGGAGTCGAACGAAAGGCACCAGAACTGAGGCGCAACCTAGTATGGTGCAAAGCATCAAGACAGCGAAGAGTAGAAGGAGAAGCAGACGAGTAAGCAGGGCAACCATAATCGAGCTTAGACAGGACGAGAGAGGAATGTAAAGCAAGGAGTGCGCGCCTATCTGCTCCGCAAGAAGTATGGGACAATACCCGAAGGAGGGCAAGGGCCTTAGAGCACTCAACACGGAGGTAAGAGATATGGGGCGACCAAGACAAACGAGTCAAAGAATAGCCCCAAAAGCTTCGCGGAATCTGTGTACTCAAGGTGATGACCATAAAGTGACAAAAAGGGACGAAGAATGACCCGTTTCCGATTATAAGTCATGGCACAAGTCTCGAAGGTATAGGTATAGTATAGGTATAGGTATAGAATAGTATTTTATAGGTATAGTATCATTCAAAACTGGCGTGCAGTGATGCAGGTACGAAATAGATGCCCGAGGATTCCAGTGATCGTCCGCCATTTTTTAAAAAACAATCCCAGCATGCCCCAGGGCTGTGGGAAGCCTCAGTTTTAAGGAAGCAACCATGTCTGAAACATCGTCTACGCGCTCCCAGTCCACGGTCAGCTGCGGTCGAGGAAAACGACTCTTATGACGAAATACGTGACAGTGTTTGATAATCGGAGTGTAGTGTTTGATTAACACAGAGGTCTGACACGAATGAGGGGGGGGGGGAGAATGAGGTGAGGAGGTCGTGAGTGTGTACAGTACACAAACCTCATCCGGCCTGCCTCGCAGCCCTGGGTCAACACCACTAGAGTCACCACCATCATGTGTGTCCTCTGATGCGAGTTTATTTAGCAATAGTACACGTGATGAATCATTCTCAGGCTTCAGTGACATAGGCTCCAATACAAGCAGTGTTGACAAACTGAGTACGAGCAGCGATGGTGTTACTAGGCAGGGTTTTGCTGACCCAGCAACACGGCAAGGCAAGAGGCAACGTGTCACACTGCCTGAGGACAAAGACGACTGTTCCCTCCACATCAGGTGTTCGTGGTAGGCCTACACTACGTAGAACACTCATCTCCTGGCATACCTATACGCAGCTCTAGCACAAGGCAATGGAGCCGTGTTTTTGGTGCTCGTGGTGGTGTTGGCCGTGGTGATGGCACCAAAACTAAACCCACAAGTGTACTTGTGTGGGAGGATTGTGAGACTTTTGTCTCAAATTCTAACATTTGATGGTACCGATGTTGGTGTGACACCGTTATTCCCCTATACAGGTGATGATATGGCTGAAATTGACTTTTATGGCATATTTTGATCAGGAATTCATGGACCATCTCGTTGCAGTGACAAACAGATATACTCACAGCCTCATTGACTCCGGCATTTTACCTGCCTCTCGCATGACACGATGGAAAGACACGACA